AGGTGCCTGCCAGCCAGAGAGAAACACTCCTGGGAGCAAACCCCCCCAGAACCCTGACTCCTCTCCCTGTGCCCAGACTCCTGGCAGAAGGGAAGCAGGATGGGATCTGAGCCCAGGGTGGCCTTGTGGTGAAGGGTCCCCCAGCAGAGCCACCCTGCTGGGAGGCTCCCACAGAGCATCCCCGCAGCGAAGACAGCAGAGGGTTGTAGCAGGTCCCTGGACCGCCCAGCAAGCCGGCGTGCGGGGGAGACACAGCCAGGGGTGGTTTCTCCCTTCCCAGGAAGGACAGACAGCCTGGGGTAGTGAGCAGATCTTTTCCAACGCACACAGATTTTTCTAAGATGATTACACTTAACTCCAAGCCTAAGCAGCTTTTCCTAAGGGGCAGATTAATATACAGGGGAAAAAAAACCACTGAGAAAGTCAAGTCTGACCCTTTCTCAGTGCTCGGTGGGAGCCAGAGCAGGGCTGAGCTTTCAGGGGCCGGCGCTTCTCCATCCACAGCTCCTTGCAGCTCAGTGTCACCTCCCAGGCGGGACAGCCTGGTACGGGCTTCAGTCCCCTGCCAGAGCTCCTGCAGCCAAAAACCTCATCCTCCAAACCATGCGGAGAGCGGGGCAGGATTTGCCCCCCCCGGAGAAGCCACCTGGATCTGCCCCACCAGGGTCACTTGTCCCTGGCTGAGCTCGGCGGGGCAGCGGGCTCTGGCTGTGGGGACCCATCCCATGCCACTTCACAGGGCAAATTTAATGACCTTAATTAATATTCAGGTAATTAAGCACTGATCTGAGCTTGCCTTGTTGGGGATAGGAAGGCATTGCCCAAGCCTGGACCCTATCCTGGAAAGGCTCCCGGGGTGATGGTGCACCACGGAATTGGAGTACCCGACACCAGAGAGCGATGCTAAACCTCGACTTTTTCAAAGTCCACCCCACTCACGGCACAGGATAATCTCCTCTTGCTGGGAGAATGGCACTGAAGAAGAAATGTGAGTTTGAAGCTGCTTTTTGCCCAAAACACAGTTGAATGAGGCAGTCTGCCTGCATCAAGGGGCAAGAGCGCTGCTCCAGCCCCACATGCGACCACACAGAGCAAGGGACATTCTGAGAGCAGCCAAGGACACCCAGACTGGGGAAACCTCACCTCCCGTGTGAGGAATGATGTTCGCCCCCCGTCCCTACAGAAGAACTAGTGTTACAAAAATACAGTCTTAAAAAGGGAGGTGAAAATTCCCACACTAATCACAACCGGAGGGAGGAACAGAGCCTCTAATTTAGGAAAAAAATAAACAAAATTGCTCAACAACAACAAAAGAACTTTCATGGAATTTGAAACATTATCTCGGACCTTGCAGGAGCAGTGAGGGGCAGAGATGGTGCTCAGGAGGGAAGAACCATCTCACAGAGAAACCCAGGCCGTAGAAACACGGAAACCCACCAGCAACCAGCCTTCCCTGGGCCACTGCCCAGCCGTGTAAGATTTTTTCAGCACATGCTGACGAAGAAGAGCGGAGAGGATTTAATGGCACAACCCTGGCTGGCAATGGGGATGGCGAAGGGGCTCACATCTCTCCTCTCTCCCGCAGCAGCACCCAGCAGCCGGGTGGGGAAATTAAAGATAAATAAATTGGCTTTTTGTTAGTAGGAGAGATCAATTCCTCTTTTAGCAGGAGCTGGTTTTGCTCACAGTGCCCCAGCTTTGTGGGTCCACCCAGCAAGCACAGGGTGGGTCCCGGGGTGCTGAGCCGCATGCAGCAGTGATGCTGCTGCAGCATCCGGGGGGGGTGAGCGGTTGGAGGGGTCACCGCACCCAGCCCCCCCAAAGGAGCCCAGGCCTTGGTTGGGCTGCGGGGACAGGCTCATCCCAATGACCTCGGACACCCCCAGCTCACGAACAGTGCGTGGACGTCTTTTGCA